GCTTGTACCAGAAATTGTATTCCTTTCCATTCATGTCCTATAAGTACATAAAATACTCCTGCTATATTGCATCAAAAGCCTATCTAGTTCAACATTCTGTTTCATTGGTGGATAAGCCATAGTCCCAATGGAACAGCACCAGCAAAACATGCCTATGCAGCTTCCAGCTGATGAGAGCAACAGAAAAAGGGAGACCATAGAAACCTACAAGAGTCTGCTTTGCTTGGTTGCAGAAACAGCCCAGAAGGTTTGGGTTTTTACACCCAGCTTTCCTACTTTACCAACCTTCTGGGCTACAGTATAAGAACTTTGGACCATCTTGGCCAGCAAATTGGATCTGGCTCTTGTATAACTTCTGCCAGAACAACTCAGCCTTCACCTCCCAGCTGAAGAGAGCAGCAGAAGAAAAAAAAACGGAGACCATGGAGGTCTGCAGGAGTCTTCTGGGTTGTCTTGCCGGGATGGGACTAGGAGGCACTGCCCTACAGTGGCTCCAGTCATTCCTGGACGACCGTACCCACAAGGTGGTGCTGGGGGATTCCTGGTAAAATCCCCAGTCATTGACTTGTGGGGTTCCATTTTGTCCCCCATGCTGTTTAACATATACATGAAACCCCTGGGAGAGGTCATCTGGAGCTTTGGAGTATGGTGCCACCTATATGCAGATGACACCCAACTCTAACTACTCCTTTCCAGCTAAAGCGATGGAAGATGTTCTGACCCTAAGCCAGTGCCTGTAATCAGTAACAGACTGAATAAGGGCAAACACTTTGAAACTTAATCCAGATAAGACAAAGGTACTCCTGGTCTGTCAGAAGTCAAGACCAGGAAATAGGGCTCCAGCCTGTGACCATCCCCGAAGACACAGGTTTGCAGATTCGGGGCTCTCATGGACTCTGTGCTGAACCTGGAGGTCCAGGTGTTGGTGATGACTAGGAGGGCCTTTGCACAATTAAAACTCTTACGCCAACTGGGCTTGTTCCTTGAAAAGCCAAATCCGACCATGGTGGTACAAGCCTTAGTTACATCCAATCTGGATTAATATAATGCACTCTACCCCCCTCTGGCTTCGGCTCTTGCAAAAGCTGCTCCAGGGTTAAAGCTGAGGCAGCCCCAAGCCAGTGGCGACAGAGAGAGCACCAGGCTCGTGAGGTGGGGACAGCCCAGCAGGCCACCACCCCAGCCATTCTCCAAGGTAACGCAGCCTCACGCTCCTCCTTCTCGCCCCCTCTCTCCCTCCTCGCTCCTTCTCCTCAGGCTGCACCATTTTGGGGATGATGAGGGAGGCGAACAGCTGCTGACCTGCTGGAGCAGGTTTCGGGAAGCAGAAAGCAAAGGGACCCCGCGATATCTGGCATACAAGACGACCCCATTTTGGAGATGATTTTTGGGGGTTCGAAAGTCATCTTGTACCCTGGAATATACGGTATATAAATAGGGGAATAGTCAATGTTGGTCTTTAGGTAATATTGTGATCAATATTTAAGCCCTAAATTTGCAAGACCTGGGCAGAACGGTTGATGATAAAGTGACTTGGAAGTCTATCATTCATGGTGTTACCATAAGTCAAGGTTAATTTAACAGAAGTTAGCAACAAACAACAAACAACAAACACACTTGAATAAGTCTTGTTTATGATACTTCAAGTACCACTAGTAGGGAAGGTAGTACCCAAAATTTTGTTCTTCACGTGCTTTGGGCTTCAACACTCAGAAGATCTAGACAGTTTAGCCAACAGTCAGGAATCTTGGGAAATGAAGTCTAAAATATCTGAAGGACCAAAGTTTGGGAATGACTGGTTTAATCACTGACATAAACCAGCAGCAATATGAGGTAAATAATCAAACCATATGACTGGAGCTCTTTTCTAAGAATGTGAAAATTTATCTAATTCCTTAGCAGACTCCAACATCTTATAACAAGCTCAACACAGCTTACCTATGACATTTCTCAACATATTTTAAGAAGCAATATTATAAGCACAACTAGGAACTACAAAGTAACAACAGGAAACACAAAAAAATGTCCTCCCCTGCTTCACAAGCAAAAAAAGACTTCTGCAGTTCAGCTATCAGGATAGATAACATGCTGTTATCATTTATTTTTGAACATGGGAAACAGCCTTAATGCCAATTACAATCAATAGTTTTCTCAGTGCTGAGACCTGATGTAAGTTGGAATGCTTAGTTGCCCATGTGCTGAGATCGCTTCCTAAGAAATCATTACAGAATGAGCTGAAGCCTTGACAGTCTATTTAGGCAAGTTATCATCAGTTGTCAAGAACTCAACCTGCAGAAAATAATCATTCCCCAATTTCCCTGTTTCTCCCCTTTCAAAAACAAGCCTACTCTTTCAAATAACACTTTCTGAAGAAATCATGCAGAGGATATGTCTTGTAAGATACCTCCCCCCCCCCAATTAATGCTAGTCTAATCTCAATATTTTGCTGTGTGCCTTCAAGTCATTTCTGATGTATATAGTGACCCAAAGGTAAACCTATCACAGGGTTTTTTAGGCATTTTTTTCCCTTGCCTTCCTCTGAGGCTAAGTGTGACTTGCCCAAGCACCCAGTAAGTTTCCAATGTCCTAATCCAACACATATACCACTATACTATACTGGCCCTTAAACTCAAAGCTATACTTATTAAATCTCACCAAAGAGCTGTGAATACTGCAGCCTAATTCAGTAGTTAATTCAAACTATAATAGATCTACCAATTCTATGGAAATTTGCTATTTATTTATTTTATTTATTGTCAGAAGTGAATTTAGAATACAGTTATAATGCATAAGAAACCACAAACAAAGTTAAAAATTTGGCATTATGCTAAATTTCTTTTGAAATTTAACATAAGCTGGCTACTTAGAGTGCCTCTGGTCTCGCTGTGAGAAGGTCCTCCATTATGCATGTGGCAGGGCTCAGTCAATGTTCTTGCTAAGTCAATGTTTATGTATGTTCTAGTGATTCAATGCATCTACTCTACTTGAGCCTATCAATTAGATTTGAGTTAGTAAGCTTTATTTACTAATAAAGAGGCCATTAGGAGGTTGATCAAGCTCTTTCTTTCTCAATGTTCCATCCATGTTTGTGAAGAAGAATCTCACAATTTTAAGTCAGATGCAAAGCATCTTTCCTGGTCAGACACCATTCTGACTATCTCTTAAACATCTCTCCTCTTGCCAAAAATGAAGATACATTTCCAGACATTTACAGCAATGTCACATGATTTGGGGAAGAGTTATGCAAAAGTCAACAGAAGAAGGAGCAAAAGGAGCAAAGTTCATGGCAATACTAGTTCTGAGTTGGGTTGATTGAGCCAAGGCATGATGGTATGACTAGTTATAATAGGTAACTAAAACTAAAACATATTAGCTATTCAGTTAATAAATTCTGTGGTCTAAAACATATTAGCTATTCAGTTAATAAATTCTGTGGTCTAAGAACAGCCAACATCTACTCTCATTCTAGCTTCTTGTGAGATTCCTGGAGACATTTGGTTTAGTCTTCAGAAGACAGACTTAAAAAGCTGTGTTTGTGTTGATAATGATCATCTCCTAATTATGAGTTTCAAAAACTGTGCCTATTAAGAGTTATCTTACGGATGTATCTGTTACAAGAAACAAATATTTATATTATTATGTTCCGAATTTTACCAAAACACCCCCATTGGTACGGGTGGGTGAATAATCCATAATTATGCTGATTCAAGGACAGCTGATTTTCAATTCGAACACAGGGTATTCTGCACTATAAAAAGTTCCAAAGGTTGAATCCTTTTTGTTCAAAACTATACTATAATTTCATGTTTCTGAAGCAAAATGTAAGCTTATTAAGAAATTCATAGCAGTAGGACCATGTAAGAAAGTACAATTAAATATAGAAAATAAATTTATAATTAGTAGAAGCACATTCAAGTGTGAAATCTAACATACACACACTGCCCATCATGACTGAAAAGCTGGAGAGATTATAGGGTTCACGGGCAATCATGTTATTTATGAAATGTGAGTGTAAATGCAGCATGATACAACAAGTCATTTTGAAGCAAGCTAAACTAAACTGTTCTCCTGATTTACTACTTTAGCTTTCAGCATATTGTTAAAACACACAATTCATGCTTATTTTCAAGGACATATTGTGAGCTGTGAAAGGCAGGTACCTACCCTCTTTTTGAGTTGTTATTTAATTAATATTAAAAAGAATTCCAGAGTAGGAATGGTTGTGAACTGTGATTATTAAAACCCCCCTAAATACATCTTTCTTTGTTTTGATATGATAGTAATATGACATTACAGGGTATTCCTGTTTTCTAGTGGTTTGAAGAACATAGTATTAGCTATCTCTGGTGAGATGCTTTATAAATGATGACAATGTGTAAAATTTAATTATAGAAATGCTAAGCCGCCAACTGTACACAATCTTTATTTTTAATCTTAAATACTTTTCAGCACTTGCCTAAATTAATAGTATGTATAAAACCAGTTCCTTTGAATAAAGAAATTAATAAATTAGGGAGGTCAATTTTACTGTTATTCAATTTAATGTAGATAATTAAAACATACTGTATTTCTTGATTATACATGTTTAATTAATCCCATCTTAATCTTCACAAAATTACACAAAAATAGTTATATTTATTTATTTACAAAAATACCCCAGGACTACTTAACAAAAATGCCTGTTAACATTTGTTTCAGCTGCTTGATAATTCATATTTCATTAAAGAAACTAATTGAAACTACCAAGTGAAACAAATTAGATTTTTAAAATTAAGTATTATTTACCTATTTGAAAACCATTTCAATCAAAATTTAGTGTATTTAGAGGGAAAAGGCTACATTAAAAGCTTGAGATAGGAACCTGGGATTATGTTAAGAATGGAAAGCTAATTAACTAAAAAGAACAATCCCCACCATCAAAATCATTTTGATGTAAGTATGCTGGAACACATACAGCAATCTGAAAAATGGAAAACACAAGCAAGGAATTAGGAACATACCTTCTCATACAGTCCAGCGCTCGAATAAAGAAGTCTTTGTGCAGCTGATGTTCATCTCTTAAAATTGAACACTGTTCCAGTGTTACTGACATTGATGTCCTATCTTTGGCGCTTTTACAGCAGGTGAACCGGATTCCATTTAACTTGCGACAAATCTATAAAGCACAAAGAAATTAAGTGAGCAATCAAGGAGGCTAAGTTCTTCTGGGAAAGCCCTGCTCTCAGTCCCACAAACAAGTGCGGTTGATGGGGATGAGACACAGGACCTTCTCAGTGGTGGCTCCTTGGCTCTGGAAACTCTCTCCCCAGTTAGAATAGATCTGCACCCTCCCCCCTGGCCTTTAGAAAAAGAACAAAGACATGGTTATGGAACCAAGCTTTTGACTAGTAAAGTAACGCAGTATAAGAAGCAAATTTGGAATATGTGCAATTGACATTTGGAATGGCCCAGGCTACGAGTTGCATCATGTGATTTTAATGCTTTCAATAGGTGTTTTAATTCTGAAATTTCATGTTTTAAATGTCCTTTTATCATATTTTATGATGAATTGTCCTATTGATTTTATGCCTAGTTATATGTTGTTGATTTGAGTTTTGGTTTATGTATGTAAGGCATCGAATTTTGCCATTATTTTTGTGTAAGCCGCTTTGAGTCCCCCCAGGGCTGAGAAAAGTGATATATAAATACTGCAAATAAATAAATAAATAGTTATCCTTATCTGAAGGGGTATTATGCAGTGTCAAAAATTTACACATTGTTCTTGAAAATTTTCAGGATGCTTTAAAAAAGTACCAGGAATGTAAATGAGAATTTAATAATGAAAAGACCATCTTGAACTAACTTATTGATTGAGTACCCTATTTCACTTCCAAAAGATGCACTAATGTCAGCTAATAGTGGCAAAATCAAATGAAAACAAATAGAATGAAGTTGCTAAGTACCTGACTAAACATAACTTAAGAACACATCAATAAAAAGAAAACACAATTGATTCAATCGAAGATCCCTTCAATAATAACCCAGCTTACTGATGTGAAAAAAGATACGTCTGCCCGTAGATAGAAAGACTGTTGGAAATGGAGAGGCATCAATAGTAGTAATTAGTGACATACAGTTCTAAAGAGTGTGCCCACCTTTTGTGTTACCTCTCGGTTTCTTTCTTTGATCTGTGCATTGGATCCTTCGTGCTTTATTCAGGCCTGAACTTTCGCTTTGTTCCAAAAGTTAGCTACAGTAAAGGTATTCCCCTGGCATTAAGTCCAGTTGTGTCCGACTCTGGGGGTTGGTGCTTATCTCCATTTCTAAGCCAAAGGAGTTGGCGTTGTCCATAGACACCTCCAAGGTCATGTGGCTGGCATGACTACATGGAGCACCGTTACCTTCCCGCTGGAGTGGTACCTATTGATCTATTCACATTTGCATGTTTTCGAACTGTTAGGTTGGCAGAAACGGGCTGACAGCAGAAGTTCCCGCCACTTCCCGGATTTGAACCTGCGACCTTTCGGTCAACAAACTCAGCAGCTCAGTGGTTTAACCCACTGTGCCACCGGGTGCAGTCTTTTATGTTCATTTGTCTAGGAAGGATGGATGCATGAATCTCCTGCTTCAGGATAGTTTCTGCTCACACATGAGAGGCAGTTTAAGGGGTTCTATTATTAAAATATAGGTCCTCTTCTTTTATTGGTCTTCTTTTCTCTCCCAGATGGATTTCCAGAAACAATTTTTAGCCTTACATGTACATTCTGAGTATTTCTCTCCTGGTTTTCTACAACAAGCTCATATTGCACTGGCTAGGATGCACTCTACTTGAGATTGATAACAAATATTCCCTTAAGGACAACAGGTCATGGTCAGTTTAACCTTCCTTGGAAAAAGTTAGAAAGTGTGAATGGTCAGCAAGAAAGTCTTGCATTAGGCCAAGCACAAACAAACACACACACACACACACACACACCATCATCTTGTTTTCAAGACTAGCATTGAAAAAGTACGTCTCTGGAGGTTTTTAAACAGAGGCTAGATGCTTTTCTTTTGGGGGGATGTGTGGGGAATGCTTTGACTGAGTATTCCTGCAATACAGGGATTGAACTGGATGGCCCTTAGGGTCTCCTCTAATTCTATGGTTCCACGTGTTTTGATCTTTTTTTTGGGGGGGGGGGCTTCTTTTGTGTCCATGACCCCTGCAATATTGTTTGGTGAGGTCATGGATGAGCTTTCTTAGTGACTGCTGCTAAGCTATGGAACCCCATTCATAAGGAAAGCTCTGTTGGCCCCATTTCTTTTTGACAGTGTTGCTAAACACAACAAATGTATTTTTACACATATTTTTTCAAGCAAGAATAACGTTCCAGTGGAAATTACCCCCTATTAATTAAAGCTGTGTCAAATAATTACAATGTATAAATATTGTCACTTTTAGAGTCAAAAATAAAAATGTTATTCTGACACATTGTAATTTGTTGTGCTGAGAACAATACTTTACAATGGTTGCTCTCCTGATCACCTCCCTTCATCCATATCAAGCTGCAACAGCCTCATAAAACATGCATTTTGCTCCTTAACATTACTGTTTTCAGTGTAGTGCACACTTTAGAAGTATAGCTTCCAAATATAAGCAGAGTCCATTTAGACCCATCTAGGCCAATAATGATAATGTGACTGAGAGTTCACATCACAACTTTTTTAAAAACAGACATACAAAGTAGCCTCTCTGCTGAATTAGAAGGCAGGAGCTCTTGGCAATTTCAGCACATAAAAAGAAATGCAGTGCAATAACCTTCAGTGAACTTTGCCTTTCCAAAGTGAAGGGCTACAGTGAGCACTTCTAGAGGTTGAAGCCTCACCCTTCTTCTGGAAGAGCAACTAGAAGACACCAAACTGAGGAGGCTAAAGGATGCACATGAGCCAACATTATCATGCAGCGGCTAAAAAAGCCAATGGGTTTTGGCCTACATAAATAGGAATCTAGTGTCTAGATCCAGGGAAGTCATGCTCTTTTCTGCCTTGGTCAAACCACACTTGGAAAACTCTGTCCAATTCTGGGCACCGCGCTTGAAGGGAGATGTTGACAAGCTGGAATGTGTCCAGAGGAGGGAAACTAAAATGATCAAGGGTCTGGAAAACAAGTCCTATGAAGTGTGGCTTAACAAGCTGGGCATGTTTAGCCTGCAAAAGAGAAGACTGAGAGGAGACATGATGAGGGCCATGCATAAATATGTGAGGGGAAGTCATAGGGAGGAGGAAGCAACTTTGTTTTCTTTCTTTTTTAAAAAATATTCTTTATTGACGTTTTCATAAAAGGACACAAATAGCATAAAAATAATCATAGATGGTAAGAAGGAAACTAGGATGCAGAACAACGGCTTCAAACTATAGTAAAGGAGATTCAACCTGAACATGAGGAAGAACTTCCTGACTGTGAGAGTTGTTCAGCAATGGAACTCTCTGCCTCGGAGTTTGCTGGAGGTTCCTTCTTTGGAGCCTTTTAAACAGAGGCTGGATGCCCATCTGTCAGGGGTGCTTTGAATGCAATTTTCCTGCTTCTTGGCAGGGGGTTGGACTGGATGGCCCATGAGGTCTTTTCCAACTCTATGATTCTATAATTCCAAGTTCTCTAACCTATTTTTAAGCCTTCTCAGTGAATCACGGTTGCTACTTATTAACTTCTGCAAAAATTAGTTTTTGAACTGGAGAAAGGTCTAACAAAAGACAACAAAAAATAACAGTAGGCTGGAACAATTCTTCTAAGAGGAAAGGTTATAAAGTCAAGAGGTTTTAGAACAAAGGCAGAGGAAAGACGGAAATGATAGAAATGTATCAAACGGTGTATGTTGTGGAGGACAAGAACAGTGAATTTCTTCCTCTCACATCACAGTAGAGCAGCGTTTCTCAACCTGGGGGTCGCGACCCCTAGAGGGGTCGCCGGGCCATTTCGGAGGGGTCGCGG